TGGAGATTGAGGGTTATTTTTCACATTTTTTCATTGTTTTTGTGTCATAAAGCAGTTTGCATGACATCATGTTTGCTCCTTTACATGACTAAAGACATTTCCATCTTAAACTGATGCAGAAAAGGAACAATTTGGTTTATAATATTTCACCAGGATGCAAGAAATTAAGTATTTGATGCTTTTAAAAAAAATCCATGAATTCATTCTCCTGAACTTGAAAGTTGTTTTTCTTTTTTTTTAAGAGTGCTGTGATGCCTCTGTTGAAAGGAGACGATCTTGGAGTGAGGATGTGAGGCCTGGCCGTCACTTCCACGTCGCGGGGAGGAGGTGGACTCTGGCTGTTTGGATCCGTGTCCTCTCCCGCCAAAGACACAAGTTAAGGCCTGGGTCTTCTCTCTCTGCATCCTCAGCTAAACCCTCATCTTGTCTTTATTAGTGTCCACATGCATCACTGCAGCTTTCGATATGATTGTGAATCCAAACAACAAAAAGACATCAGCGCTGCTTATCACCACATAAATGTAAATATTAGAATACCGTCTGCACTCTCATGTCACAAAGCCTTTTCAGACGTGATCCTGAAACCATTGTTTGGTTAGAGTATCTAACAAACGAGCTAGCTACAGGATATATATATATAATAATTTAATTTCAGGCGAATAAAAAACGAATTGAGTGGTGGGTTTTGTTGTTGTTTTAATCAAAAACAGCCCCTCTGTGTGCGTGTGTTTTGAGCAGCTGGAGCTCCAGGCTGCGGACAGTGTGTACCTCTGTGAGCCTTTATGGGTGGAGACTGAGGTCCTCCCCCCTAAAAAACAGTCCGTCAGACAGACACAAACACAAGCCAGCAGCCTCACCATCAGCAGCTCCACTGTTACGGGCTGTGAAATCTGAAAAACAACACACAAAAAAAAACCAGATACCGCGGCCAGTTAGTTCCTAAGCCCCGCACACAGCCTCCGCTACATTGGATCAGTTTGCTAGCTAACGTTAAAACAAGGTAAGTGCTAAATTAGCTGCTTCGGGGTCCAGTTTGGTGTCAGCCATGAAAACTTCTGCACAACCACGAGCGTCACTTTCGGGGGAAAAACTGAGCCGTGCTACCCTTAAAAAAACAAACAAACAAAAAAAACAGCTTCGGCTTTAGCTTCGGCAGGACGGACGGTTCGGAGGAAACGCCGACCCTCGACGACCATTAGCGGGGAAAAGCCGTTAAAAGTGGAGCGACGCGACGCTCGAGCTGGAAGGTTCTACAAAAATAACGTTCGGGCTCCGCGAAGCGTTCAGACCGAAGCCGAGCGGGACCTTCGCTAAAACCCACTATTGCTGGCTTTAAAAAAGTCACATATTTACCGTGAATTTGTCGGGAATTCAACAACTTTTAACCGAGCATCCGCGGCTGTCTGTTGTGTGCGTCAAATTTAAATGTAGCCTTGTCGAAACAATGGTGGAGGTAAGCTACCTAGCATAAGTTTTAGCTACGTTAGCCAACTACCATTATAAATATGCTATTTGAAGCTAACGCAGTGTTTGTTGTTGTTGTTTACGCGCTAGCTTAAGTAACTTTTCGCCATCTTTAGCTCAGTAAATGACTAAATAATGCTGTCGTCTTGGCTCATTTCATAACTTCTCCATGACTCCATTATATCCTCAGTGTGTACAGTTATGCAAACGAGCCTTAACTTTAAACTCCCCTCCCAGAAAAAAACAACAATTTCAGAGTTTCAGTTTAAACTGCTTTCATGCTTTTGTTCCCCAAAGTCTTGACAGGCTGTTCATGCTGTCAGGCTTTTCCAGCATCAGCTGTTTTAAATGTAGAATTCACCTCCTTGCCGTTTGCTTTCTGACCTGTTGTTCAGCTCTGTGGCAAACTGAACAGGTCTGCCTTGTTCTAGCAGCACACCCAAAGCAAGCTCCTGTGTTTTCTTTACACGTTGTGTGCCTAAAGCAATCCCATTCCTCACCCTGATGTTCTGCCTTTGTAAGCTATCTCATATAAAGCTATTTGTCTGTTTGGAAGGAAGCTTATCATTCGTATACATGCAGCCCATCACATTGTGGTTACAGGGTGGCACCGTACTTATCACTGTACAGCATCTAAACATGTCACTTTTATTCGCTAAAAACTACAAATCCCAGAATTTGTGTCTCCTCTTGCCCTGTCAACGTTACTAAACACCGAAGAAATGTGCCACAGCAAGCACAGACACAGGTCCTCAGCACATTTCGCAGCATAACAGAAATACTTTAAGGATGCCAGAACGATCAAAGTTTTGGATTGTTGTTGGAATCTCTTCTAATGTAGGTCCTGACACTGCATATCTGCGTTTACCTGTGTGTCATCTTGGTAATTGTGTTGTTTATTTTCCCAGAGAGATGAGTCAGGCTGAGCAGGTGCCTGAGGACGTGCCTGCATACCTCAACGATGAGCCAGTCGCTACAGGTAAGTCTAGCTGCAGATGTCCTCTGCTAGTGACACATTTCTGTTTGTTCACCCAAATAGCCTCCAAGTGTTCAGATCATGTTGTAGTGTTTAATTAAAGAAACATGATGTGGGACAATTTGGATAGAAACAAGGATTATGGATGTCACACAGTGATTAGCTGTAATCAGCCACTGTAACTGTACTGTAATTTGTTTAAAAATGCAGGTTTGATAGGTTAGTGTTGCCAAATAGCAGAGTTGTGTAATGTCTTTACCGAAGACATTTTAACCGTGACAGGTCTGCGCTTTGTAAGATTACAATTTTGGCACATTTTGGCTCTTTTATGTGTAAATGTGCAGCGTGAAACGATAAAATATTCAGGTGATTGGGTAAGTGACACACAAGTCACGGCGTGTGGTTCTGAAAAATGTCTCGTTTTTGTATCTGCACACAGTGATCCTCAACTATTCCTTCCAGCTATCAACTGTTTTTGGGGAAGAAAAACATAAATCTGTTTAATTAAAGAACTGTTTGAACCAGGTTTAGGCAGAGAAATGAACAAAGTATATCAAAAGAAAACATAACTGAATAAAGTAGATAAATAAGTGTTAATGAAAGATTGAAACTGCGATCTAAAAATATAGCTAGCGGTTGGAGTTATTAGCTAATAGTGTGAATATACAATTAGAACTGTTTGCTAATGGTGTGGATAAACAAATACAGTCTGTGTGCGGTTTATTTCTCTGTATTTTAAGGATTAAGACACAGAACACACACACAGGACACGGGGTGGTAAGGACTGTGTGTGTTTATACCAAAAACACAGCAGATGGATAGATGACCTTGATACTTCACAGCTCTACAACGACAATTAGCAGAGTGAAAGCAAAGTCCTTTTGATGAAAGTCGGATCATCCTCCAGCCTGTTCTGAAATGTATTTGACAAGGCTTCAGGGATGATTTACATTCATAGTTTTACCTGAGCAGTAGACCTCTGACCGATAACCTATGCACGGAGAATATAGATTGACCAGAAACTTGTTGTCCCCGTTGCTAATTGACATGAACGTCGGTATAAAAGCAGTAGTTTTGGACTCTAACTTGGAATTTTGAGGAACATAAATGTGCTCTTTTTGGAGGCATTTGACACACATTTGACGGGACAAAAGTCCAGTTTTCATAGTGTAAGATGGATGTAAGCCCCGGTCCCCTGGCTGCTTGTCTGTGGAAAAGTTTCTTGAGTTAAACTAATGTGAAGAGAAAAAACAAAAAAAGCATTGCGATATTGTCACACTGAAACATTTGTGACATGATTCAATGTGTCACTACTTATATTTCCGTTTACTGCTTATTCTTTATATTATATGTTAACTGTTTATGTGAAGGTTTGTCTCTTATCCCCTTTTAGGCTGGGTTCAGTCACCACAGGAGTTTTAATCCGGTAGCACCACACACAACTTCTCAGAAGTTCTCCTCTCATTTCAGATATGCATGCACGTGATTTGAAAATAATGGTGCTTCACATGCTACAGGATATTATTAAGATTACTGTGCCAGAGGGAGTAGTCAGGGAGCAACGTGCCTCTTCACATGATCTCATGGATGCAAACATGACGACTGGGGTGCAGTAACTTGCTGCAACACAAATACTTCTTTGCAGTGAGAAAAAAACAAAAGTGAGGGCTGTCCAAGTCTGGGCGAAAAAATGAAACGGGGGTTAAGTTGGTTCCAAACTCCTGTAGTCCAGTCTTGGGTCTCGTTCACACATAGCCGGGTATTTACAAAAATGGATCTACGTATTCAAAAATAGCATTGTTCGCACCAGATTGTTTTAAAAAAATCTTTGTTTTTGTGTTAGAGCACAAAACAAGTAAAATCTCTGTCACAGTAACCAAACTGTAAACATGGTCGCACACATATGACGCTGACGAAGCTTTTGTCGCATATTATGACGTCAAACTCTGTCTCCTCCGTCTACATGCAAACGTAAAGTTGGAGAGTTTTACCAAATATCCACTTTGACTGGAGTTTTTAGATGTGATGGTTTTCGGTGACTTATATCTTTGTTTACGTGTAAACCAAAGACCCAAACGCACTGAAATATTAACGTTTTTGCTCGTTTATTCTGTGCAAGGAGCCCAGCTTGACATTGATGTTTAGCGTCTTGCCTGTCCCAGACGTGCATTCCGCAAAACTTACTAATTAAATGATCTTGAAGAAACGCTCTCTCATCTTGCCTGTACTACTGTGTATGTAAAGGCAAGATGACATAAACTTGATTTGATTTGATTTGATGTGACACTGGTGTACAGTGGAGTCCTTATCTTGTCGTCTTATGGATGTAAATCAGAGAACCCAGTTCCAGGGGAGAATAAAGGAAGATAGGGTCACACGGAGAACTCTGTGAAACCACATCCTGCCTCATTAGAAAGCAAAGCTCTGCCAAAATGGTTTGGCAAAACCCAGAGAGATTGACCTTCACCTTTTTTTTTCTTTTTTATCCTGCTGGGAGGGATATGAGCGATAAACCTACTGTTACATGGAGTGTGACTTATAGGAAGGTACACATCCTGCCATCCTGTCTGATGGACAACATGCTGACATCGTGACATATTGTGGAAGTATTGTTTTGTAACACACACCATCTCTACCATTAAATAACATGACAAGGCCTCTGAAGTAGAGCTTCATGATTTGGAGAAAATATCGAATTGCACATTTTCTGACAGACTGTGTTTTTGATTTTATTTGCAGTATAATCCAATATAAGTGAAGTCAAGCTTCAGTTCACTGCGCAACAGATTTAAAACATGCGATGGAACAAAACCACGTGGGATACAGTCAAAGACATGACTGTCACACAACCACTGACAGTTTAACCGTTTGTCAGAACACGTTACATAACATATATCCTAAAGACACATCTCCTTTGCTAGTTGCATTGTTTCAAATTGCTGTTATAATTTAAAATCGATTAATTGTTAAGACCTACTATAAAGTAGCAGCATGTTTGGTGAAGAGCTGGAAAGATAAGTTGTTTAGTCAACTATATGGTTTACAGAAGATGAATTGGCAGATAGGGCTGCAAGATGTCTTGGTGGTTAGCACCGTTGTCTCGCAGCAAGAAGGTCGCCGGTTTGCGTCTTAGTGAGGACACCCAGGATCTTTCTGTGTGGAGTTTACATGTTCTCCCCGTGCAGCGTGGGTTCTCTCCGGGTTCTCCGGCTTCCTCCCACACAGTCCACATGTTGACGTTAATTGGTGATTCTAAATTGTCCGTAGGTGTGAATGTGAGTGTGCTTGGTTGTCTGTCTCTAAGTGTAGCCCTGTGATAGACTGGTGACCTGTCCAGGTGTCCCCTGCCTTCACCCTGAGTCAGCTGGGATAGACTCCAGCCCCCCATGATCCTAGTGAGGATTAAGCGGAGTATAGATAATGGATGGATGGATATTGAATGTTTAAATGTTGCTTTTGTTGTTTCAGATAACAACAAGGACCACCCAGAGGCACAGCCGGGCATGTTCGGCAGGCTGGCGGGGGGCTTGTACGGCGCCACCAAGGGAGTGGTGGGAGCGACGGTGGGCGGTGTGACCTGGATAGGAGGGAAGAGCCTGGACCTCACCAAGACTGCGGTCATCTCTGTGGCCTCTGTGCCTGGAGCGGGAGTCCAGCTGGTTAAAGGGGGAGTGTGCGCCGTGGCTGGAGGAGTGACTGCCGTGGGCTCTGCAGTGGTCAGCAAAGTTCCCATAGGGGGAAGCAAAAAGAAGGACAAGTCTGACTGATGGGGGACGGAGAGGAGGGAACACACACAGCTGAGTTGTATGACTCGCACTGCGTTTGCTTGTTTTAGCATACGTAAGCAGGAAAAGAGCAAGCGAGGACTCAAAGTTCATCAGTGTGCACGTTTTGGTGTTGGTTCTGTGCTCTTTGTTTTTTTTTTTTTCTTCTTTTGTTTCATTTTTTTAAATGTGTTTTGTTGTTAAACCCACGTTCATACAATTACGTGGCAAAGATTTATACAACAGCAGCGTAACAAAGACTCTCCTTCTCTGTTGTTCAAGGAAAACACACCAGACTTTTTTCCACCTGTGCCTGAAATTTCTCAATTCATCTAACTTTGTCAATAAGCCACAATGTTGTTTTCACTCTAAGTTGTCGTCGTTCGCATTAGTTAACTTTAACATTAGGAGCAAACAGCACAGTAGCAGAAGTTAAACGTCACCTGCAAGACAATCAGTGATGATCTATAACTGACAATGAGGTGTTTCTTGGAGATTTTAAATATTTCACTGTTAAATTGATCTGGGAATGCTCACAGTGGGATTTTAAGATATTAAAAGTCCAGTTTAATATCGTAACTATTTTCCAGCAGTTGATATTTCACTGTTGAGTTCCTGTGACAGTTTCCGTTTTCTTCTGTATTCATATCACCCTCTGGTGGTTACAATCTGAGCTCAGTGGAAGGCAGCTCCTGCTTTTGATACAGAATACGATTTATTACAATAAATATTGTGCCACAGTATGAGAGTATATTATTTGCAATAACCTTCTGCCCAGTTTAATAGTTTCTCCTTTACTTTGTGTAAGTGTTATGACATGTCTGTTGGAAAATACAGAACCTAGGACACACTCAGAAGCTTCAAACATACGCTAATTTCACCGACCACACAAGAGTTTTCAATCGTAGTGTTTCACTAAGCTCATCTGTTACGAGTCACGATGTTTACTGTTCACACTAGGAACCTGATGGCTGGATTTCTTGACATTACCTTCTGAGTTTCAAGTGTCAAGTACATTTTAAAGATAAAAACCTGTAAAACAAAAAAAAAAAAACACAACTTTTGTTACTCTGCTTTGTATCGTGCAGCAGTAAGGTTGCAAAGCTTTTATTTTTACCAGTGTCTCATGTCAGGATGTTTTGAACATTATTGACACAGGGGCAATATTATATTCAGAACTTGTTTAAATAAAATAACTGGAGGTTTTTCTTGTTTCGTGTTTCTTCGGTTTTAAGTTTTAAACAGCTGCTAACTGCCTTGAATCACTCGGACACTTTTACACGCTTATTTGCAAACATCGAGAAAGTTCTGCAGAAGTTTAGAATATTTTTTTTTTTATTGTTTAAAGCAACTTTATCTTTCAGGTTTCAGGTTTTTCTAGTCATAGCTGGCGTACCACATACCTCGTAACTTCTTAAAATTCTACTAAATCCAGTAGTGCGTTGGTAAAATAGAATAGAAACTACTTCGTGTTTGCGGTGAACATTTATAGGAAATTTTATTGTGTTTTGTTTTAGGGGAATCAATTTAAAACCACAAATTAAATATCGTAATATCAGTGGTTCCTGTATTTTAGAATGTCATCGACAAACAACAAAGGGGATAGTCTGCACAAAAATATTAACATCACGTCTGAGCCAATTCATTTTTTTAATATAAATCTGAATACAACACTCTGATGACATGCATGTGATTCGTCCTGCAGCACACGTTAAGCCCTTTTTGTGATACATTACAACATATGCAGTTTTCATTTCATACCAGTAACAAATGAACCATGTTCCAAATGTTTCTCTAAAACTGAGCTCGACGCTGTTTACTGCTCTGGAGAGGCCATGGCCAATGGCCCAGAAGAAACCACAACCTTCGATTCGCTCTTCTCCTGGCTCACAGCTTCCACATCTCTCTCTGCAGACAAACATACAAAAACACAGTCAGGTTTAAGGACATATTTGCTTCAGATTTTTACAGAACATAAATTCATCTCTTACTTCTCCTGAGGCACATTGGTTCACATCTGGCACCCGGAGCATTGTAGCACACAGCTGTACTGCAGTGAATGTACACCTGAACAAGGAGAACAGTGTTGGAAGAGAAATGCAACCATGTTGTGCTGCAGTATTTCTGTATCCATTAATATATAATTATTACCCGTTCATTCATGGGTTCATTTGAACTGGGGTTCACGAAGGTAAACATTTTGAAAATGAAACGTCTGTGGTGACTTGGGAACTCCAGACCAGAGGACTGATCCACTGGAACCAGTGAGGACAAGTAGCGATCGTCCCTGCATGGACATCTGGATGGAGAGCAGTTTAAGTTCAGGCAATGGCAGTTAGATAGAATATAGAATCTAGCCATACATGAACATGGCAGATAGCTTTGGCTGATATTAGCATTCCAGTTTTGCTTCAGCAAACATGTTGGCTAATAAGTAACAAGCAACTGCAATACAGATGTGACATGTCTGAGGTCAGTTGTGAACATGGTCACTGTTGCATCGTTTATCCTTTACTGAGAACTGGGAAGTTAATAGTTCAACTCTAAAATGTCCTACACAGGTAAATACACTGGACACGAGTCTTTGTACCAAAAATAAAATCAGAATCAAGGATTTTTTGTTGTTGTATTGTTTCTCACATCTTTATCCTATTTTCTCAAATGTTGTTATCAATATTGTCGTTAAAAATGTTGTATCGGTCGAACTTCAAATTGTTATTAGTTTCACCGCTGAGCAGACCTGACAGTTATGTTCATTGTTCACAAAGATCCAACATGTCACCAGCAACAGAACAGTGTAAACTGGTATTTAGTTACCCGTCTGTCAGAATGTTCCACTGGGGCAGGCTGTGAGGGTAGGGGTTTGCAGTTACCCAGCAGCGATCAAGAGTCAGGACAAGCAATTGATCTGTCTTTCCAAGGAGCTGAACGTCCACATACACGGGGTCCCTCAGTACTTTGCTCACAGGATAGTCTGCCTCCGTATAGAAAGAGCTGTAGGCCGCAGTCACTGTGAGAGCAGATACACCAGTTATGACACAGTTAACAGTATGAACAGATCTACAAACAGAGTGACTCTGCCAGGCTGACACACACTTTACCTTCATTACAACCCTTTGTGGTGCATTGCCCATTGGCCAACCTCATCTCTACCCTGATGGGTCCCACAGCAGCAACCGGTAGGGGAGGATTCGTAAGTGGTAGAACGTCTACAATCAGAGTTTCGACAGAGGTGGCGGTGTATCTACACCGGAAGAGCAATCTGGAAAAGAGAGCAGGCATTATGTTGTTTAGTCAGAACATTTATTTTATACTAAAACGGTCTCAAAGTGATCACCTACTCATAGGAGCTGTCTCTGGTAATGGCTCCACGAGGCCCAACTCCCACTTCATAAGCCGAAGTCATCCTGTTCTCATAGATGATAGCACCAGGCTCCTCCTACAAAATGTAAGAAAATGACGAATGGGGCAGCAATTCTTACATTTTTATCATGTTGATTGAAAAGTAGGGGCTGCAAGGTGGCGCAGTTGGTAGCACTGTTGCCTCGCAGCAAGAAGGTTGCCGGTTCGCGTCCCGGTGGGGGCACTGGAATCTTTCTGCGTGGAGTTTGCATGTTCTCCCCGTGCAGCGTGGGTTCTCTCCGGGTTCTCCGGCTTCCTCCCACACAGTCCAAAAACATGCTGAGGTTAATTGGTGATTCTAAATTGTCCATAGGTGTGACTGTGAGTGTGCTTGGTTGTCTGTCTCTAAGTGTAGCCCTGTGATAGACTGGCGACCTGTCCAGGGTGTCCCCTGCCTTCGCCCTAAGTCGGCTGGGATAGGCTCCAGCCCCCCCGCGACCCTAATGAGGATTAAGCGGTGTATAGAAAATGGATGGATGGATTGAAAAGTAGAGAAAATCAAGATCTTACCATGACAAGGGAGCCACAGGCAGTAACAGGAAAATGGTAGATGGCAAATTGTGAATTCGAGTCAACATGCGAGCAGCCTTGACCTTCTCCCAACAGTGAGACTGCCTCGAGGTCAAGGTTGGGTAAAGTGGCTTCTTTGGCTACTACAACAATGAAGTGGGCGTCCTTGGTGCACTGGACAGTCACTGATGGAACAAAAGCAGGCAGTGGTGAGCTGAATGTTTAGATAGTTAGATAGTTAAACGATTGTAATCAACACCATTTTACTGGAGTGTAACCGTGCTTGTGGCTATTTATTTGCTTTACTGCAGTTTTAATCAGCTGATGTCTGTAAAGAGAGCAGCACCCTTTAAAAAACTCACCTGCCTTTCCAAAGTAGCACTGTTGGCCGTCAAAGCAGCAGTTTATGGCTTCACATGCAGTAGCAGAGATGTCAGGAGCTCCACATTGGACTCTGGCGCTTCTATCCACGGCACAGTCCTGAGGGGCAGGATGCTTCGGTTCCTTCGGCTCGTAAACGTAAGGCTTCTGCGGTGGTACAGATTGCTGAGAAGTCTGCTGCCTCTGGTAACTTTGATCGGCTTTAACACCGTGCTGAATTTGGGGTGGGAGCTTTGGCGGACTGTAGTTTGGTGGTGGTGGGAGGTAAGCTTGAGGCTTCTGAGTAGGTTGAGGGTTCTGATTATTTTGGTAGTTCTGATTATTTTGATGGTTCTGAGTAGTTTGAGCGTTCTGATAGCTCCGCGGAGTAAGGCCAGAGTGTTGCCTAAATAAGCCCTGACCTTCTACCTCCGTACCCACAAGGCAGCCCAGCAGAGCTAACACCACGAAAGACGTGGCGCCCGAGAACTTAGCCATGGTTTTACAGCGGTCTGACCTGGACAGTCCCCAAGTGTCGACTATCTGTGTCGCTGCTATATATGTATATGTGATCAGGCGTGACGTTTTAAAAACCCCACCTCTGAGGCCAAAGAACCACCAATCAAGGCTTACCCCCGTTCAACAGCCACTTACAAGCTTCAGAGTGTTTTATGTAATGTTTTGTATCACACCATTCAGATGGAGAGTTTAATCTTTTTCGCAAACAAGCTCAGTTTGATGGGTGGTACTGGGAGGATGAAACTCTCGGATCAGGTCAGTGTGTTGGAAGACAGTTTGACATGAAAGTAATTGTTGACAAGTCCAACATTTGGGTCACAAAAACCTTTTTTAAAAGGTCTTTTTAGCCTCAATTTGTCACCAAATGTTGATTTTGTTGGTGCACCAAGACAAACACATTGATCTTTACTTGGAATCTGCAACAAAGTTTTCCACAATATGCACCTCAGGTCAAACTATATCTGTATGTTTTCTCCGTGCATCGTAACTCTATTTTTGTGTTCATATTCACTTAGACTACTAAGGTTTCTCAGCTTCCTCTTTATTGCTTTCTCAGCCATATACGAAGTAAGCACTAGAACAAAATTGCGTGTTTTTCAGACCATGGTGTGACCTGCAAACAAACAAGATGAGGCGCAGGAAACACCTTAATGTGCAAACAGCATATAGTGCAGCTACGCAAGACAGTGTGCAGTGATCAGGCAACGTAGCAGACCAGGATCAGTTAGCAAAAAAAAACAAAAAAACAGCAGAGAACCTTAATTTAAGAACAAGACAAACATGCTGCAAAAATGAATGTCGAGAAAAATACATCTGCGAGTCTCGAAAGACTTTTCTAAACATAACTATACGCTGTATTACACATCTACTGTAGCTCTGGAGGTAAAAGATGAAAAAGATGAGGACCATTTAGTTAGAATAACTGCCAACCATACAATACAATGGTGTAGTAAAGATAATTGTGTGTTATATGTATGTATGTGTGTATAATATTTGCCGCTAACTTACTGAATGAATATGTAAACTAACTTTACAGTAGACTTATGCTATTTTACTAACACTAAAGGCACTGACCGTTCTTTGTCAGTTAAAATCTGAGCAGCACTTCACTGTGCTGTGCTCTGGTGCTGGTTTATGGACTGATGCCTGTTTATGAGATAATCCAACATCCCAGAATTTTGATTATTTTGAAAAACTGAATTAAATCATTTTTGTGGGCAGAATTTATTTATTTTTTTGCCAAGAACATGACTGTATTTAGTAAACAAATGATCAGAGACGGCAAAAGTACTCACATTCTGTACTTAAGTAGAAGCAGTGATACTTGTGTAAAAATAGACTCTGGTAAAAGTAGTACTGATTCAGCTCCTTTACTCAAGTAAAAGTAAAAAAGTACAGGTTAAGAGATCAGAAAAAGCAAAAATGAATTTTTAGCTTTGATGATACACGATGCCTCTTTTGACAACTCTGCAAAACGAAGAAAGTTTTAAGCACACAAAATAGGATTGTTTTCATCTTTTCAGAACCTGCACAGTGCTGCTACAGAGAAAAACATCACCGGACAGTTTTCCATTTCAGCAACATTATGAACATTAAACATTATAATCATCATGGAAACACTCATCCCTTCAAGACTACCAAAATCTTTTATTGAGCCTCAGTAGAAGCTGGTTCTCAAAGTTCTTTGAATGAAGATGTTCACTTTTGGGTCTGAAAATCAGTCCTGCAGTGCTAGAAAGCCTCTGGCAGGCAGCTGAGGCAGGCAGGGCTGTGTTGAGCTTCAGTGACAAATTGCACACTGCTGGGAAAGATGACGACGTTTGTTGTTACGTCTTTTACGTCAAGTCGTCATCCGCAGTGGTTAAAAAAAATAACGAGCCAGTTTTGAGAATGCAAGGAGTAGAAAGTCCAGATATCTGTGTTCAAATGTAGAGAGTAAAAGTAAAAAGTCGTCAGAAAAATTAATACTCAAGTAAAGTACAGATACCTGCAAAATCTACTTAAGTACAGTAACGAAGTATTTGTACTTCGCTGCTTCCCACCTCTGCAAATGATTATGCTAACTATAGTTTAAGGTGTACAAACAAACATGTGTTGTAACATTATTGCTAATGTTTGCTACTTGTTTTTACTCATATTGCCTCCAAAACAAGTCATGAACAAAAGTTTGCATACATGTGATACACAAGAGTCTTGACTTTCCATGTACTGGGACAACTCTTTATTTTCTGTGATGGGATAATTACAATACATGCATATTTCTCACAAA